AAGAAAGGAAAGGAAAGAAATTGAGCACAAATATCTGAACTTGAATTATCGATTTGGATTACTTTTGAAATTGATGCTTTCATTATCTTCGCTTTATATAAATCTATTTCTGTATATGGTTCTGATGGAGGACCTTTGATCTTAGAAAATGCATTTCTATACCTCTGTTTGCTGAATACGAAGAAATGCCCAAAAATTACATGTGACAAGTGAGTCTGTAGCAACAAAAAGATGAAGAAATGAAAATGATATGGTCAAATATAATTGCATTATCACTTACTATTTCTCTCAAAATTTTGAATCAGACATAGAGAAATCCCATCAACTCGACATAATCACCCATTTATGGTGCACAACTCTTTGTAAGATTAGTGTGTCTTCATGTGATAATTGTCAAATGGGTGAATTTGATAATCTCCACAACCAACTATACAAGGATATTAGAAACAAGTGGAATTGGGTATTTCAAAACAGGAAAGTCATATTTGCCGTTTTTGCTTTTTTGCTTATTTGTTTCTGGAGTGATGGCTGAAAACTTTATCTAAACTATCATGTGTGTGTCTGAGTTTCTTAGCTGAAATATCAATCATCGATTCACCTAGGAGAAGTGATTTTTTTATGATTGATGGGTGTTTTAATAAATAGTTGGCGGTGTACTTCAATAATGAAACTAAAATATAAGGACACTTAAGGAGCTTTTTACCACCAACTCTTTTGTTTCTTATTTCTTGCAAAATGATTTTTTGTTATTCCGTGTAAATTAAATAGATAATGTCCATGAATCTATAGAAAATTTTGAAATAGTCTTCCAAACTAATTATTTTTGCTCCTCCGGGAGGTGTTTGATGTGAAAAAGAAAGTTAATGTATGACTCATGTTGGATGACATTATTAATGTTACAAACGATTGTAAAACACTTCTAATTTTATGCATTTATATTTATTTTTCACAATGATATATCAAGTGATCTTTTGCTATGTTCTTTTTGTTGTTTTTAGCAGGCTGCATGCAATATGCCTTCAGTTTTTGGATTGTGTCAAGAATGATACGAATGATATGATTTCCTCTGCTGACTGTAAGGTGCGCACATAGCGCATATTCTGTTTCTCCATTTGAATGAGTAAATTCTATCATTTCTTTGAGATACAAAATTATAAGCTATGTATCAATATTATTTTGGCATTTCATAGTTATAGGAAATGCACTGATGGTAGCAGCATGTGGTGCTATAAGTTTCAAATTTTAACTCCTTACTGTTTTGTCTACTGAATTTCGCATTTAGATTCAAGTGATGATTCAATATGATGATATTGTTGTTAAATCGGAAATTATCTTTTTTGGCCAAATAGACTAAGTATTGACATTTTAATTATGTTGCCTAATTCTATATTAATTTAGGCGAGAAATAATAATTTTAAACTATGGAAAGAAATATAATACTAAATTAATATATAGTACTCCCTCCGTTTAAAAAAGAATGATCATATTTCCTTTTTAGTTTGTTTAAAAAAGAACGACCCCTTTCCTTTTTTGGCAACACTTTTAACTTTAACTTTTCACGTGGCGTGACATGTTTAAGACTACATGTTTATGACTACAAAGGTTTAAGATGTACAAGATTAAAGGGTATTTTGTTACATTTGACATAATTTTAATATAGAACCACAAGATTATAAAGTCTTCTTTCTTTTCTTAAATTCCGTTCAAAGTCAAATTAGGTCATCCTTTTTGAAACGGAACGGAGAGAGTAGTATTTGTTTGATGTATGTCTTCCCCATGCTATCAATATGACATATAAGTTTTATGAAAGAGACAGAATGAGAAGTGGGAAAAATGATAAAGAAACAGATAGAACAAGGCAATACATCTAATAAAGTGGGACAATGTCACATTAGACAAGAAAATAGTAGCCCTAGAAATAAATAGATGAAGGAAAAAAATAATTTACTCATGAAGTGTTTATGAAAATATATTGTTGTTCATTCCTATTGCAACAAGATGGACTTTATCGAGGCTGAGAATGGACCAACTATTAAATGTTGGGTAAAAATTTGTGAATGGTATATATACAACTTTACAAGGCTATATGAAAGTGATATTTGGATAACATATAAGAGGACGTGATTCTTTTAAACTAATTGTATTTTGTTTCAGATGATGGAAGAAAAATAGCACTTGGGCATGGCACGACAGCTGAAGAAGTCACATACTTGTGTTTTGTAGCACCACGACATTTAATTGGTATTGTATAAAATTATTTTATACCGAACAAAGAAATCTTCTTTTAATACATTGTTTTATCCGTTTCCTATCCCGTTTCAGTTGGTTCTCTTTATTTGATCAGAGGTTCAATTTAACGGTTTCTTAAAGCTTTGCTTAATTAATTTTGTAAGTTGAAATATCTTACTTTCAACTATCTAATGCTACTTGATGTTATGATTTTATCTGCGAATAAATTTTTGAATGCTTCATTTTGACAATTGTGTCATCATATCCCCAGATCCACAAAAGACATTATGACCAACAACGATGTTGTCCATTTATATTAAAATAATATACTTTTAGGATGTTAATGAAATGCTTTTAACTTCCTTGCTGACTAATTATGAAAGAAAGGGGCAAGATATTAAGAATGTATATAGTGCTACTTCAATTAAGCAAGTTTTACTTTTTTGGTGATTATCTTTAATTTATATGTAAAAAAATGTGGATATGGATGGAAAGATTTTTTATATATATATACACTTATATGTCCAGCCATTTTTTTAGGAATTTATTCTAATTGTCCCCGTGTCATGGAAGATGAAGAGTTACCAAATCCTTGGTACTTTGCCTTAACTTTGTATTAATAGATACTATGTGTACTATTATATTTGACTCTTTTGTAATTCAAAAATGTATGATATACTTGCCAATTAGAACTTCTGGATCCTTACTCGCTTTAACAAATATACTGCCGAGTGAGGTAAGTGATCAAGAAAAACCAAGAAAAATGATTGATTTCAATTCTCTAATTTTCAAGCCTACAAGTACAAATTTTCAAGCTTTTTAAGATTTGTAGGAACCATAGTGTTCTATTTTGGATGATGTTGTATTAGTATTTAATAGTTATTCTTAGATAGAAGTTATTCTTTTAGTATGATCTAAATTTCTTCTATTATTTTTGTATTGTTTGAATTGCAACTTCTGAAATATTAGCAGATTGGGAGACGATACCAAAACATGATACTTTATCGTCTTCATAATTACAATATGCTGGAATTGAGAGGATGATCATAAAGTAAGAGATTAATGATGTTTGGAAATGATTTAGGTGATATTCATTTCCTTAATGAGGTGTTCTCTGTTCAGATTTTATGTGATTATGCATGTGGAACAAGTTTTTCTTTAAAAAATCTTGTTCAACTATTTATTTATTGAATCGAAAATCTTAAGTTACGAGTAGTAAACTGAAATGAAAGGATAAAAGGTAGCTATAACATGTTTTTATCTAAGTCAGACACTCAAATTATTAATGTTAAAGGTAAGGATAATGTCAAAGCACGTCTGACCCATTCCTTTGTATCATTATCTTTAATTTGCTTGAACTTATAAGGTTCTTATCATATTGTTAGATATAGAAGCTACAATGTCTAAGTGCAGTAATTTAAATAGCATTTTTGTTGCGCTTTGTAAAACAAATAGCATACTAAAGTACAATGATCTTTAGGAGGAAAAGAAAAAAAATTGTATATGTAATATCTTACGATGGCTTCCTGGTAGCCAAAATAAATCTATCCATAAATTATCTTCTTATGAATTCATCTTCAATAGAGATTGTGTCTCACTTCTATCCCAATTTTGCCAAGAGATGGCTTGAGCAGATGTGTACTCTAAAAGGTATTTGTAGGTCACACAAAAACATGACTTGTTCAAGCAGATAAAGAAGGAATAGACTCTTAAAAGCAACTTACTTTTTGTTGTCTATATCCTCTATTTGGGAAAATAGTAAAATTGATAGACTTTAACAGAAACTTTTGTCGACTTATTTCTGATGTATTCACTTTTCAATAATTTTCAGGAACAACATATAGTGAGTTGATTTTCTCCATAGTACATTGGATTGTTCAGAAGTTGTTGACACCAATACAATATGAATGATAAACTGTAAATGCAGAATGTTCGTAACAACTTTGAGCACGAGTTGTGCTAACATTTTTTTAGTCCTACTATATGATGATTTGGTGACATTGTCTATAGTTTGCATATGCTAGAGTCAATAGAATTTATGTCTCTGCTTACTTGATCATACCTCTCACTAATATATCTACATAACTTGAATAAATTGTTCCCTTACAATTTATGTGTTATATATCTGAATAATATTTAACATACTTTATTATTTACGGAGAACAAATCTACTTATATGTTGGGCCCGTGTTGCCTCTCTAGTGTGTGTATATATATATATATATGTGTGTATATATATGAATCACTGCTTATATATATTTTTAAAAGCTCAAAAGTCATGATTTAATCATTTTTGTTTACAATAATATATTACATGTTTGGACCTAATATCAATAAAATTTAATTTGGTTTTAATTTTAATTACCCAATGAAGTTGTGTTGTTCAAATCTTGTAGATTAGTTGATTGTCTAATCATCTGACACACAATATTATCTATTTTAAATCGTGTGTTTTTAAAAAATAGTTTGTGATAATCATCACAATGTGATTTTGATATATATAACTCATATCGTAATAATGTGTTTAGAGGACTCACGTGCGAAACACGTGTTCATAACTAGTTTTTCGTAGGAATAAACTCTTTAAAAGATTTCTTTCATATGTCATATGATTTGTACAACCATTATCAATTATCCAAAAATCAAATTTGGACAGTTGTTTCATCTTTTTGAAATTTTATTTTTGCAAATTACAACTTCATGACCAAGTTGTTTGCAGATGTTCCATTGTGCATCTGGTCTTTTCCAACATTAATATGAAGGATGTCAATCTTTTCCGCAGTGCTGACAAGGTGGTTATTTTTAAAAAATTTACCCTTATTTGAGTTTTGTGGCTGACTACTAACGCTCCTTCAACCATTCCATCTTGCCTCATAAGCCTCCGTTGTTCCTGTGCCATCAAAAAATTTAACAATTTTGCCAAAATAATTTTGGACAGATCTTGTGTGTTTTCCTAGGTAATTATACATGTTTCATATCTTTCGGGCACTGTAACAAGAATTTTTTCAACAATTCTTGTATCTTTAAATAGTGTCTAGTAATCTTACCTTGTTGACAATACCAAATAATCTATCAGAGTATTCCTTGACTGTTTCTCACTATTTCATTCTCTGCAATTCGAATTCCCTCATTAAATCTAATACCTTCATTCCTCGTATTCTTTCATCAGATAATTCCAAATATCTTTTGGTGATGTGAGAGTCTGGATTTCGTGAAAACAGTTGTCAAAACATCAACAAATAAAGTTGATTTTGCCTTTGACTTAATGGTTTTCTTTTCCTTGTGACTCTAGATTTGGGCCGCGGTGGGATTATTTGGCAGCGGATTGATTTCATAATCCTCTTCCATGGCTTCCAAAGATCAAGAGCCTCCAAGTAAATTTCCATTCTCACATCCCATAGTCGATAATTCTCACCATCAAAAATAGGAGGAGTCATTCGTGAAAACTATTTTCAGAATCCATTTTTCTACTCACATGTCCCTCAAGAAGGCTCTAGATACCAATTGTTGATTTTTTAATAATAAAATGAAGAAAATAATAGGGAAATACTTGACAGAAAAAATACTGCAGTATTAGCAAAGGCGATTATTTTATCAATAATCAAAAGAGTTACATTTATAGATATAATTTCTAACTAAAAATAGAAAAATATGCTACAAAATTATCAGTAAAATTCAAATAATAAATAAAAGAACTAACTCCTATATTCAAGTCACATAGGACTCTAATAAAATAATTTTAAAATCCTATAAGTAGCTAACTGATTTATTATTGCAATATCCTGAGACACATTCTCAACAATCAACAACTGGTATTATTCTTCTTGTTGTACATGTTGATGACATTTTCATCACTGATAGTGATTATGCAGGAATGTCCTCTATCAAATCTTTCTTGCATTCGATATTTCACGAGAAAGACTTGGGACAGTTGAAATACTTCTTGGAAATAGAAGTAAGTAGGAATAAGAAGGGAACATTTTTATCTCAAAGGAAGTATATCCTTGACCTTCATGAGGAAACTGGTAAGTCAATAGTCAAGCCTTGTACTACTCCAATGGCTCCAAATATGCAGCTAACAAAAGATGATGGTGATCCCTTCAATGATCCAGAGAGGTACAGGAAATTAATTGGGAAATTAAACTATAACTCGTCTGGATATTGCTTTTGCAGTTAGTGTTGTTAGTCAGTTCATGACCACACTTACAGTAAAACATTGTGCAGCTTTGGAGCAAATATTGTGTTACTTGAAAGGCGCCCCTAGACTTGGCATAGTATATAGCAACAATGGACATACTCGCATTGAGTGTTTTGTAGATGCCGATTGGGTTGGATCCAAGATTGATAGAAGGCCTACTATAGATTATTGTGACTATTGTGTCTTTGTGGGTGGAAACTTGGTGTCATGGAGAAGTAAGAAAGAAAATGTTGTATCTTGATCCAGTGCAAAATCCGAGTATAGAGCTATTACACAATCCACATGTGAGATTATGTGGATACATCACCTCTTAAGTGAAGTTGAGTCAAAGTATCCCACACACGCGAAACTTTGGTGTGATAATCAAGTTGCTCTTCATATCACCTCAAATCTAGTGTATCATGAAATAACTAAGCACATTGAGGTGGACTGTCATTTTATTCGTGAAAAGATTCAAGAAAACCTTATTTCCACGGGCTATGTGAAGACTGGAGAGCAACTAGCTGCTTTATTCATAAAGGCATTGAATGGAGCTCGAGTTAACTATTGTGTAACTAGGTGGGCATGATTAATATATACAATCCAGCTTGAGGGGAGTGTTACAGAATATTGTGATAACTTGAAGAAAGAGTTAGGGTCACTTCTTTCCTTTTGTATCCAGGTATGTTGAATTTTACAAACTGCGATCCACCGTCTTCGGTAAAAAATACCTTCCTGCATTTCCTCATGTTTCTTCTCGACATCCAAGAGTGTCAATAAAGTGGAATGAGAATCATGAGGTCGTTCAAATCTTAGGGAAGGCAAAAAAACTACGCAATTTCTTCCCCTGTGTCCAAGCCTTCTAGAAGGAGTTACCCATAGGACTTCAAATCAACAGATACTAATTTTTTTTATATCAACTAATTTAAAAAGTTGCAAATATTAATTACTAACAGTTACATCGGTTTCAAAAAAAAGGGATTTCACAATTAGGGAAATATTTCAGGGTTGTAGCATGCGCCAATTTCAAACACAATAATGCTCAAGGATTTTCCCAAGTGAAAGAGTAGAAGAAAAGCCGTAGAGATAGTCCGCAAGATCGCCCAAATTCCGTGCCAACTACTAATACTAATGCCAATTTTACTTTCAAGAAAAATAGCATCGAATATACGCAGGTATAGGCAAAAAGAAGCAACTTCCAAGAGTGTCAATAAAGTGGATAGAGAACAATGAGGTTGTTCAAATCTCAGGAAAGGCAAAAAGCTAAGTTAAACAGTTGCAAATATTAATTACTAACAATTAATTCGATTACATAAAAGAGGATTTCAAACACAAAAATGTTCAAGGATCATAAAAGTGTTTACCTAAGAGAAAGAGTCGAAGAAAAGCCCTAGAGATAGTCCGCAAAATCTCCCAAATTGTGTTCTCTCGTTTTCCAAAAACTGAATAATGATAAAATAAGATGGCTGAACTATTTATAGTCTAAAATAAAACACATGATTCAAACCTAGAGTTCGGGTCTGCGCACGTGCGCGGACCTATTCCCTCTCTGCATATTTCGAAAAGCTTGATCCAACTCTGTGACGCGCTTCCATCGCGCAATCCACTTTTTTGTGATTCAAAAATTTACTAGTGTATGTTCAATTGAATTCAACTACAATAAGTTATAAGACTGCTTGTAAAATTACCCCTTATAACCATGCTCTTTTTTGTAATATACTAATTAAACATCTTTATATAAACAGAATTTGTAAAATTGAATTCAAGGTGCTTTTACAAATAGTTCGAAATGTTTAGAGAGGGAACATGTATGCGCACGTGCGTGGACCTGGAATCTAGGTTTGAATCACGTGCTTTATTTTAGACTATAAATAGTTCAGCCGTCTTATTTTATCATTATTTAGTTTTTGGAAAACGAGATAACACAATTTGGGAGATTTTGCGGACTATCTCTAGGGCTTTTCTTCGACCCTCTTTCTCTTAGGTAAACACTTTTATGATCCTTGAACATTTTTGTGTTTGAAATCCCCTTTTATGTAACCGAATTAATTGTTAGTAATTAATATTTGCAACTGTTTAACTTAGCTTTTTGCCTTTCCTGAGATTTGAACGACCTCATTGTTCTCAATCCACTTTATTGACACTCTTGGAAGTTGCTGCTTTTTGCCTATACCTGCGTATAGTCGATGCTATTTTTCTTGAAAGTAAAGTTGGCATTGGTATTAGTAGTTGGCGCGGAATTGTTATGATCTAGGATAATAAGTTTATGAGCTTTGTCTTATTCACCGTCGAGAAAGGAAAGAAGACTTTCAACTCTAAGTTTCACTCAGACGTAGTTCCCTTCTTAGTTAACCTAAGAGGTCTACAGAAAATACGCCCCAAAGTGGCAACTGAACAATGCAAATGGAGCAAAGTACTCTGCCCGCGGATAGACTGTCTTGTATAGCATAGTGCTTCAGGTTTCCTTTTGCTCCCATGTAAAGGTTCCCTCGTATGACCCATACGTGACCTTCATGGACCGCGCTTGACTCCATTCTGTCCGTAACTGTCTCTTCCACCAGAGGCCTTGTACTCCCATTTCATCATGTTGGCCTTCATCCCTTCCTTTAATGTGCAAGTTCTCCAGGCACTGAAGGCATTCCAGGAAGGGCTCTTACTTTAACAGAACTAGGACCGTCAACTCCAACTGTCCTTATAGATAGGCGAAAGTTACCCCCTCTCCTTAGAGTCAAGTGACTTTCACTCCTTCAAATCCATTATATTGGGAGGCTTAACGAGTGACATATTCCGAAGTATGTCACTGCTGAAGACATGGACATGGTGCTACAAACTGAATTGTCCATGTCCCCATTACGTATTTGGAGATCTATAAGGAATCTTTGGCCTAGACTAGCAAAGAATTCATGTTATGAGGTGGGTGCGGGTAACAAAATACTATTTTGGAAGGACTTATGGATTACAGAACGTTTTAATGCGTTGTTAAGGTTGATAACTTTTTTGCGTAGCGAACATGTCTTTCTACACAACAGAGGAGAAAGTGTATGATCTGTTCTCTCATGCTGGAGAGATTAAAAAGATAGTGTGGAATTCTGCTTTATAATGTATAGCTTTAACTTTCTTTCAGTCTCCAATTTCATATATTTTGTGTTGCTATCTTTCAACCATATAGTTAGTTCCCTCTAGCTGCACTTGCACTCGAGCCTCACTACCTAAGGTCCGTGTATACTCTAGCTTCCCCAGACCCGACTTTTGGGATTTCATTGGATAATTTGTTGTTGTCGTCAGTGTTATCAAAGGCAAAAAGTGCAAAAATGTTGTAAGGTATGTGGGGCTTTAAGTGCAAAGTGCTAATAACTTGTGAGCATTAATGAAAAAAGGCGCAAGGGGGAGAAAAAATACAAATGTATATATGTTTAATTAGTTCAAGACTAATAATTATAAACATGAATTACAAATACGACCAAAGAAATTGAAAATTTTTATGATAAAGTGAAATATCAATTTTTTAGTGTCACTTCTTCAGAGGCTCATTGGCAAGGAAAATTTCGCCTTAGAGTTGAAACTGGATGTAACTGAAGGAAAGGCTATGTAGGTACGATAGGAGGGTACGGTTAAGCAGGGTAAGCGAAGGCTCTCTCTCGCGCTCTGTGGTCTTGTGTTGAAACGCACATAAAGTGACGCGATATGCTGAACACGTTTTGAGTCTCGCTTCAGGGCTTAAACGCGTCTTTGACTACACTGGTAGTTGTTGTATCTCCTTAATGACTGGGAAATAGTTAGATTTGTGGTGCTATTGGAGATGCTTGATGGTTTCAAATGCACCACTATAGAGGATGACATTTTTAGATGAAAACATGATGAAAACTGTAACTTATCTCTTCTTTTTGCTTGTTAAGAATAATCTAATAGTTATAAAGTATTGATATGTGTGTTGTTGCAGAGCTACGTGGTTGTCAGGCGTCTAATTAGACACCTTTTATCGGAAAAAAAATATCGTATATACAAGTAAAATGATATATGAAGTGATTAAATAACATACTCTGAATACCCTTTGACACAAAAAGCTACTGTAACCTAGTGATTTCAGATACCTTAAATGATCTAGCGTTTGCATGTTCGAATCTCACAAAATATTGGTTCATATATCTAAACCTAATTACTAAGTCATTGTTAGAATACTTTTTATAATGATATTTTTTATTGCATTTTTCCTTGATAATATGGTGTCATTGTTTGCATGAATACTTTATTGATATAATGGTTAAAAGCATATTTGAAGAATTTTTTATTTTTTTTTAGTTTCATACTTTAATAGGTATTTGCATTTTCACTCGAATTATCACTAACTATTTATCAAAACGCATTTAGAAGCTGACTAAATCAAGTGTTTGAATACAATTGACAACTTAATTTGCCCATAAACTTTCGTGCATATAGCGATTGACTCATGAATTAGATGCGTGTTTTGATAAATAACTGTTAATAGTTCGAGTAGAAAACACAAACACAAGATAGTTCAAATAGGAAAACCGCAAGAAAAAAATGATATCTCAGGTGTGTTTTTATCACTATATCTTAATTTTTTATTTTTAAAATTCAATTAACTCCTTTAATTATCCACGTGGGGTGCCATTTGACACCATTTTTGAACAAAAAGGAAAGTGTATTACCACACACCATCATGTACCAGTCAAGGTGTGCTTTAAAAAAAGTCGATGATAGTTCAGGTAGGAAACACAAGCACGTGATAGTTCTGATAGAAAATTCATAAAATTTTATATTCAATCCAAACGATCGGAACGCGCAATCCTAGTCATAGTTGACCTTTGGTATAAATACCAAAAAAAACTTATGTTAAACATGTATAATCAAGTTGTAATTAATACTTGGGATATTTTGCAAACTCCATATAGTGATAAGCTGTAATTGTTGAAAAAAATGTAATTGTACATTGAGCCAGCCCCATGAGATTTTCACATGATCAAATTATGGTTTGAATTTTGGTCCATTACTGGACCACAATTCACTAATTTCACAACAAGAATTTTGGATTACAGACCCAGTGTACAAATCAAATATTAATGAAAGAGTTCAAATATTCAGTGTGAATGACTCATACCACTTGCCAATTTGTTTTTGTTTTGGAAATTTCCTTGTTCATGTTTAGAATCAACTCTCTACGTAAAGTATACGCGGATTCAAGATATTAAGTTTATATAAAATATGGGAAAATTATTTAATTATACAAGCATTTCTACCGTATTTATTTATTAAATCTCTTTGTTTGAAATAATTACATATTGGTTTTACTAATTAATTACTTCACATCAGATTTCGAATTAGATACATGTGGCTTTATCACTAGATACACTCTGAAATAGAGATACATAAGGAGAAAGGTGAGCGAGGAAGCAAGGAAGAATCTTTGTATTTTAGGTTATATATGAATCATACTAGATATATATGTATTAGGGACTGGCATGCAGATATATAATTAAGAGAGGCGAGTGAGAAAGTTAGATACATGTGACTTCACTTGGATACAATGTATCTAGAATAAATTACACTTAATTTTGACTCCATACATGTATCTTGATGCACCAAAATAAATGAATCTAAGGACCAAATTATGGACGAAATGGTAATTTGAAACTCAAGGGAAGATACTTAATTAGATCCTAAACTAGTGGAATATGTGTTGTAACACAGATAAACACCTAAACTTGGC